GCACGTTACCCCGGACCCGTGCCCCACGCCGAACACGTATACCACGATCATCTCCCTTCAGCTCCCAGCCCTTATGTCACCCGAAGCTCCCACTACGAGCATCTGCACGCTGGGAAAACGTAAACCTCGTAGTCGTGAATTTTCGTGGACGATGCATACTTGTTGAACGTTCGCCGAGAGCGTTATCGTTTGTCGTTTCATGTTTCCCTTTCGCTGGGTATGGAGTTCGTTTCGCGAATTGATCGTGGGAGGCGAGAACGAACGGGAGAACGAGAGAGAAGATTTCGCAGGCGGAGAAAGAGACACCGTTTCCGTGTTCCAGGCCGTTCGAACCCCTTTCCAATCTCGCGGTTTCTCCCTTCGAAGGATCGAAACACCTTCATTTTTCCGATTACAAAAACAAAGAAAAAGAAATGCAAACCATCAGTTCCGCGAATAACGAGAAACTGATGATCGGCTCGATCCGTGCACGGACGAGAAACGAAACCCGAGTGGGAGACACGGTACACGATCAGGATCCCTTCGCGAGGTGACGAGAGAAGGTCAGTTAACACGCGGCTACTTTTCCTCTCGTTGGGCCACGTTGTTCCTCGTTTTCTGCGGATCACGCGACGAAGCGTCGAAAAAGAGAGTCTCGGTCGTCGTCTGTCGTCCAAGAGGAGGAACGAAAGAAAAAGGGAAAAACAAAGAAAGAAAGATAAGCTCGAGTCGATCCGTGTCGAACCTATCGCTCTAAATGTGATCCGCGTGTTTGAGCTCGTGTTTACGCGGCCCCTTGTGTTTTGGTGGTTGCAGGTGGACTATCGTCACCCCTGCAGCGCGCCTCCACCGCTTCGCCCCACGGGGTCGGGGGTGTACCGCCTTCGTCCCACGTGTCCTCCCAGCAACCACCACCACCACCCCCAGCAGCAGTTTCCCTACCACCGCGATCCACTCCTACACCGTCTTCAGCCACCTCGACGACATCCAGCCTCCTTTTCCCACCTCCACTCCAAAACGTCGAAACCTTCGGCTCCTTCCTCGGCGAAGAGATCGTCGCTAACTGGAGGCGGACGTTGGAGAGGTCCATCATGAATCAGCAGCAACAACAGCAACAGCAACAGCAGCAGCAACAGCAACAGCAGCAGCAACAACATCAGCAGCAGCAGCAACAGCAGCAGCAGCAGCAACAGCAGCAGCAGCAGCAACAGCAACAACAACAACAACAACAGACAACTCCACTGAGTCAATTGTCACAGCAACAACAGCTGCAACAAGCTCAGCCGCTGATCGGTTTGCATCCACCGACGAGTACCAGTAGCATAAATCATCTTCCATCGCCTACGGACCCATCATCCAGTTCCAACACACCGGCCAAATCGAACACCCCGTTAGGAACCACTCCACTGAGTTGCCTTGACGCAGCCGAGAAGGCGCCCACGCCGGTCTCGGGCCACGAAACACCCGCGCCGCCTACGCCGTCTTCTACTACCGCGCTAACATCACCCCCGAGTTTTCAACCGCCCACCACGATGATCGAGACGACCGCCTCCTCGGCTTCCGTGAACGGCGGCAGCGTGATACCCGTGGTGCTCGCAGCCCCACCGCCGAAAAGCCCCGCCGACCAAGAGTCCTGTCACAACAACAACAACAACAGTCATCATTTGGCGAACAACAATATAGGAGGCCTGAGCGTGTTGGACACGCTGAAGAGCCCGTTTCGATTTGATGACAGGACGCACCCGTTCAGATTCGGCGACGAGTTCGGCGCCGCTGGCATGGCTGGAAGACTTGGCGAATCCTTGATCCCGAAAGGCGATCCGATGGAGGCCAGGCTCCAAGAGATGCTTCGGTACAACATGGACAAGTACGCGTCTCAAAACCTGGACACGCTGCACATAGCTAGGCGAGTCAGGGAGCTGCTGTCGATACACAACATCGGCCAGAGGCTGTTCGCCAAGTACGTACTCGGGCTCAGCCAAGGAACGGTCAGCGAGCTGCTGAGCAAACCGAAACCCTGGGACAAACTGACGGAAAAAGGTCGTGACAGCTACAGGAAGATGCACGGCTGGGCTTGCGACGACAACGCTGTAATGCTGTTGAAATCCCTGATACCCAAGAAAGGTGAGTACCAACCGCTGTCTCTCCAATTGTCCCGCCATTACGGATCTACGAATCACTTCTGTCTGAGCGGTGAAGATCAAACTGTCTGAGCTGAAACGGGACCGTCTAATTACACGTATCGTGATTCCTGAAGAAATTTCGTTGTAACATTCATTTTCAATTGAGGTTTTTAGATAGAAAAGCTTGAATATTGACTGAAACCCTGATAATTCAGTGAACACGAATAATTCGGCCCGTTTCTTTTTCGAAGATTCATCAACAGGTTCGATGATCCGTGATTGAAATACTCTAATTGAGTTTCATGAACCAGTCGATGATTCTCCTGTTGATTGACGATAGATCGTTTCAGCTTCGCCGCTGATCAATTTACCGTTCGACTCCTACAAGAAATATTTTCTGCCTCGCACTGCCAATAATCTGTTCTGCCGAACCACTAACCAATCAGCTGTCAGTTAACTATTTTTTCGGCTGTCTAATACGGGGTGTCACTTGGTGTTTCTGTTTGGCCTAACTTTACCGCGGAAGAGGACGCATAATACTGAAAACCGGAGGTCCCATCCCTCTAGATCGCGGAATCTGAATCTCGTTGTTGACGATAGAATTTATTCTCGTGGTAGCCATGCGTTGGTGACGTCGTGAGCTTTCGAACAACATCGATGAGATCTTCAACTTCGTCAGATTGGGAGTTTCTTATAATTGTTAAGACACAGGTGCACCGAACGATCGGTGACATTCCTGTATAATACTGTTATGAGAACTGTTAGCGAAGATCATAAATTAAAGGCGTTTCCAAATTTATGAATCGCAAACATTATAGGCAACTGCGCAACAGGCTGCTTTGAATCGCATGCTGCTGCAATGTACACGTGTCGATGTTGAATAGATCTATGCGATATATGAAGGAAACAGGAGAAGTTAAAGATATGCTTCTTTTACTCCCTCAAACAGTTAAAATAGAAATATAATAACCAGGCTATGAAACTCGTATAATTACGGCGTTCAAACAAATAAAAGAATACATAAAATACCGAACTGTAACAAAATAGACTGAATTCTCAATTTTTCTTTTCAATTTTAGATTATTGTTTAAAATCATTAATGAGAATTTGCGACGTTTCCTAAATATTTACAGACTAATTATAGAATGAGTGTGTGAAACAAAAAAAATCAAAAAAAAATTGATCTACGAACTTTCAGTCACTATATAATGATCTTCAACAAAGAGGACATTTCTATTCTGCAAGTTTCTATTAAATCATTCGAAACGCATTAAACGCCACGTGTAGCATTAAAAGGCAAGAATAATTTACTTGTTTGTTTTTTCATCATGCAAAAGTATCTTCAAGCGCTGAACACGTTCAATCTTACTGGTTCGATCGTATGTAAAACGAAAGTTCATTTCGCTGTATTGAAACCGAAGGAAGGTAAACCGTAGGATCTTGCAGGTGGAGAACGCGTGTGACGCAAAACAGCGCGAAGGCGACATTGGATTTCGTTTTGAATAATCTTAATTAAATTATACAGCCAGTTAGCGCGTCATGCTCGCTATCGATTGTTTGCTGCGTTTGGCAGCCATATTGTTTAGACTAATAGCTCTCAGAAGTAGGAAACTGGGGATGAGTTCCGAGCAGGGGTGCAATACGCGCGGGGTTCCAGGAGAGAAAGGAGGATAGGATGGTGGGCGGAAGGGAAACAGGGTTCAAGAGAGAGCACAGACGTTCTAAATCCGGCAGCACTTATCGCAAAGGTAATTTACACTTTCGCTAAATTGTCAAGGGATCGCGGAATTGTTCTGGATGAAAACGTTGCGACAATCCTACCATACTACTTCGGCCAGCCTGGAGATTTCACGGCGAAATTGATCGTGATCTTGGTCGGAGATTGTGCGCAATCGATACCTTCGTGTTCTACAAACGTGAAAGTATTTGAACTTTGTTGATTGTGAGTTACCAGATGCATACTAATAAACGCGAAATAAAAATATATATTGAAACACAACAAATTTATTACCAACCACTCTTGAAATAACTTAATAATTTAAATTGTTGTAATACTTTCAATTCGTAATGCTTTTGTAATTTTCATCATTATACTTTTGATGTTATCATACAATGCTATTGTCTGTCAATGAAAACGAAGTAACTAAATTGTTTAAGAAAATTCCATCTGCATTAAACTCGTATCTTTTTTTAAACAGTGTTGAGCGTTATAGGAATTGTTTCATATAAGATAATCACACGATTTTCTGTTAATCTGTCATTGGAAGCACAGGATATCTGAAATAACGAATAGATAAGTGGTTAGTCAAATAAATTCATATTGCACTATTTATATATTCATCAAACAAACTTTTATCCGTCAATTTTATTCTTTTTCCATTATACGAATAAAATTTCCCCTACTGCTATAAAAGAAGAAGTACCCAAAGGCTTACGAAGAGTATAACTCAGCCGATCGCAACACAACAATCACAAAGCGCATTGGCAGGAAGTCACGTGACTCATCGAGGAGGCTGGCGAGATTCCCCTCCACTTTCTTACGCGCATAACTGCCCATAGCGTCTAACAGCGAATAAAAACCCTAGTAATTGACACGGTGTTTCTTCTCTGAATTTTCATTGCTCGTCGTCAATGCGTATTGATACCACCATCTAATTTCAGACTGGGTCAGGTAATATTGTAAATTATTTTTCGATGCCGCGTTATGACCGACGCCGTTGTCAATTTTGAGAATGAAACCAGTAATAAACATACTTGGATGTGTACCAACTATCTTTATTATGGTAATCTCGTGGTATGCTGCTCTTGCAACAGCCACGTTTAAATCGATTGTGTTGAACCAATGGGCAATAACAAACACTGACGGAGAAACAGACCGAAGCGACGTACGACGATTCTTATGAAATTTTTGTTGAAAGTAGCTTTATAAAAATATTCGACAAACATTGTTTTTCATTGGTTAACTTTTATATTGGAAGAATGAAAACAGCAATTTTATGGTGAGAAATATATTTAATCGGATGCCTTGGCAACTAAGAGAGTTAAGAAAGTGTTGTAAATAAAAAATTTGTGTATTTTTAATAATTAAGAAACTCTATTTACTTAAACAATATAAGATAATAAGACTTTAATTTGATTGATTTTTATCGTTAAGTATCAATTCATTTCCTTAGACATTTGTACTTGAAATCTGCACCTAAGTACAAAAGATGTATAATCTGTAATATTTATTTTTGTATTGCAAAGAAAATTATTATAATAGAACATTTGACGTATTTTCTATAAGACGGAGTCCTAACGTATGTACAATCAAACAGGTAGTAAACGTCATGGTATTAGCAGCTAGATAAATTTCTGCGAAATGTTTGAACGAATACTCATAATTAGAAATCTTGATCGTTCACACGACACAGTTAATAAAACTGTCTCAAGCATTTCTGATGCGATTCACAGAACCGTAACTGTCAGATGGTTTTATGATCACTTTGGATCACAAGTAGTTTTCATATGATTTAAATTAACGAACTATAAAGATTCTTTGTATCGAGAAATTCGATGTTATTTCTTAATTCCTTATCCTACGATTTCTTTCGCAAGCGCGCTCGATAAAACTACTTTATCATTATTAATTTAGTAGAGAGAAAAATAATTCGATGCTTATTCTGTGTGCACGTTTACTCTAGAGGTTCGAGATTGATAATACTAATAAATAACATTTCATTTATATGAAAAATAAATAAATGACGTTTACATTTGTCGAATTCGGTTGACAATTTTCATAACGAGTTTAACTCGATATTATAGGAGAAGGGATTAATAATAATCCCCGATTTATCCCTATAAATAATGACCGATTATGGAAGTTCTAATGCTACCGTGGCGTGTTTATTCTAGTAAACGACTTGTTGGAAGCGCAATGTGCTCACGGCTACCAGGAAATGGGTGCAATAATTAGCGATAAAAACCATTAGTGTAACAACGGTGATGCTACATTTTTTATTTTGACGGCAATTAGACCATGCAACCGTGGTATATTATTAATCATCTTCGTTGAATGAATAATATTCGACTTGGCCAGATGCTAGACATTTCTTCATATTGAAATAGACGTTAGAGCTGAACAGCGTTTCGGAAAACGTCTAAGTAAATTAGATCCCCGTCGCACGGAAATTCGTAACTGGTCGAACGTATGAGAATGAAAATACACCCGTTTTTGTTCAATCTCGTTCAGAAAAGTAATATTGTGTAACGCTGTACAAAACTAAATAAAGTAAAAGCTTCAATCGCAAACAATGGCAAATGTGAATGGTTTCGACAGAAAAACATCGCGGAATAAAAACAGTACAAAATATAAAGAAGATTAGATTATATACAAGATATGAAGAAAAAAACACATTTTTTAATAAAAAAAAATACCAATAACAGATTTAAAAAATACGAGGAAAATCAACATTATGAAATTCGTTCGTTTTGTGATATTCCACTTTTAAAGGTATTCAAATTATTTTTCAAACATTTCCGGTAATATTAATAGCGATATTTAGATTTTTTCCTTCGTCAGAACGTGTTCCTCAACAAAGAAAAGTATCCGAATAACCAATGAAACGATGACCTCTCACTTTTAATTCTTTAAAATTATCAAGCTAACAGCGTTTCCGCGAAAAGTCGGTTAATTCTCAGCCGATATTGACCGAGGTGATTACCGTCCCTATTTTGTCCTCGGTTCGATGATGATTCATTGTTCAGATGGTTTCGGTAGCGGACATTGCTCGTGTAATCCTCGTGATTCTTTTCTTTTTCTTTTTTTTTCTTTTTTCTGATTCATTAACCCTTTGAAGCCGCGGTCCGTTTATCGAAACGATACGCGGATACGATAGCCCGTGGGACTTTAATTGTCCGATTATAATTGTAAAGTTGTTCTGCCGCGCAGCTTGAAATATGCTTGTTATTTCCTCTCCGCCGAGTAAATAAATGGGATATAAAGCACACAGAACCGGAACG